AAGTACCTTTATATAGAGAACTAAGAACAATTCCTGGGGATAGAGAATACACATATAGTTCAAAGTTACTTTTAAATTTTATTTTTAATATTCATGTGAGCTTGAATGAGTTTATTAAACTATATGTATGCAAGAGCCCAAGGAAGAGAGAGGTGTTGGATTCACCAGAACTGGAAATATGGAAATTTATATGGAAATATGGAAATTTATATGGTAGTTGTGAGCCACCATATAAATGCTGGGAACAGAATCCAGGTCCCGTGAAAGAGCAACAAGTTCTCTTAACTGCTGAGCAATCTCTTCCAGCTCCTAAAAAAGGGTTTTGTATCTAAAACTGCTAAATTAATTTTAGCAATGTAAGTACAGCTTATCTTTTTTGGTTTACTCAATGAGTAACGTACAGCCTGACACTTAGTGTATGTTTTATACCTGCTGTTTATCATGCCTTGGGATTTGGAACCACAAAAACCTATGAAGTTGTATTAATCCTAATTGTATCTAAAATAGTTGAAAGATAACAGATAAGCCATGGTTAAATGCTTTAAAACAGTGTCCTGGGCTAGTGAAATGGCTCACTGGGTAAAGCTGCTTGCCGCAAGTGTGATGAACTGAGGTTAACTTTTTGGAGTCTCATGGTAAAGAAGCAATTCCCAAAAGGATTTCTCTGAAATCCTCATGCATAGACATACACTCACAACACATCATGTGAAAATCAAAATATATAAATAAGTGAATGTAATTTAAAAATAAAATCATGCTCTATTGGTATATATTAAGTAAGAAATGTTTGTGGAGTCAAGAGAAATAAGGTAAAGTTGTTCTGATTTTAGCCATTCCGGTGGTGGGGAAGTAATAGTAGAAACTTAAATTCTCACCTGTACAAATAAATAAGCTTATGAAATAGGCTAAGAATAAAAGAATATTATTAAATAGGATACATTTTACAGATCTAGGAAATAATCCTCCCTCTAAATTTTTGGCCACCAAGATGTATACACAATGGAATATTCTGTAGGCAGGAAGAAGAATTTTTTTTGCCTACCAGTTTTCAGTTTATAAACCACTCTCACGGCAGTGGTGGTGCACACCTTTAATCCCAGCACTTGGGAGGCAGAGGCATGTGGATTTCTGAGTTCGAGGCTAGCCTGGTCTACAGAGTGAGTTCCAGGACAGCCAGGGCTATACAGAGAAACCCTGTCTCGAAAAAACAAACAAACAAACAAAAACCAATAACAACAACTACAACAACAAAAACACTCTCATATGTTGTCATTTGCCCTCACAGCAGATTTGTGAGGTCAAGTGCTGTATACAGCAATATGGAACCAGGACATTCTTGGTTCCTCAAAAGTTCTAAGCTTTTCTAGCAGTGAAAGGGCTTCTCTTGTCCTTAGTACGTTTTTTAACTGATTAACCTATTTGGGTTTGATTAGCACCACAATTTAGTTGTAAAAGATACAACCTTTGTAAATGGCCCTGGTTTTTCACAAGTTAAATTCAGTTCATCTAGGAAGCACTTTAATTCTAACACTGTCTTTACTTTGAAGTGTTTTTAGGGTATAAGGGTCCTGTTCTTATTTTAGTAAGACTGTGTTGTAAACATAGCATATCACAGTTTTCATTAAAAATAAAGTAGTTGGTCTAACAGCTGAAAAATATTCAACATTGAGATTAATTGTCATAAAATAAAAAACTAAGTCTTAGTCAGGCTTACTATTGGTGTGATGAAACACCATGACCAAAAGCGACTTGGAGAGGAAGAGGTTTATCTGGTTTATACTCCCACATACTGCTCATCTTTGAAGGAAGTCAGGACAGGCAAGAACCTGGAGGCAGGAACTGATACAAAGATCACATGGGGGTGCTGCTACTGGCTTACTCCTCATAGTTTCCTCAGTCAGCTTTCTGACAGAACCCAGGACCACCAGTCCAGGGATGGCATCACTCAAAACGTACCAGGCCCTCCCCATCAATCACTAATTGAGAAAATGTCTTGCAGGTTTGTCTACAGTTCGATCTTATAGAAAGAAGCTTTTTTTTTTTTTTAAATAGAGGTTCCCTTCTCTAAGATGATTATAGCTTGTGTTAGGTTGGCATAAAACTAGCCAGGACTAGCTGTATATTTAAAATTGTGTTCAAATCTAAATATTGGTTTCAATATGAGTCCTATGCCATTTTACTTAAGAGCTGTTTCATGTTTACATATACCATAAGCTTGCTTATGTGCCACCAAGCTAACCATGGTCCATGTTTGTGATCTGAAATGCTGGGAAGCAGGAAGGACAGGGATGCAGAGTAATTTGTGGGTACATAATAAGAAAAGGCCAAGCTAGGCTATTTGAGATCCTGCCTTGGAGAGAGAGAGAGAGGGAGGGAGAGAGGGAGGGAGGGAGGGAGGGAGGGAGGGAGGGAGGGAGGGAGGGAG